CACCTTTCAGATAAAGAAACAATCTATAATTAGATTTTTTGTTTGATCTTGTACAGGTAATTACATGAGAATCATAATTCCGTGTAAGAGATTGGTAATGATTGGACATGTTAAAGTTAAGTACTCAATTAACGTTCCTCATTTTTCTTTCCTTTGTTCATTGTAAACTTATACAGTTCGATGATACAATATTTGTGTCATACTTAATAACAACAATTTTAAGGTAATTCCATTAATTTTCTACGAAATAATTATCTTTTAATTTGGTGCCATAGTGTATAAACTTTCCTATTTTACATAGTGTTAGCAAAATGATAATAAACTGACAATTTAAAAGAAGGATTCCAGCGAAAGTAAGGCTTGATATATTCAAATCTCAGACCATTATACAATGGACATGTTAGAATAAGATAGTACTAGTCCTCAATATCATAACGACATACATGGCAATTAAGAAGATGGCGAGGAAGATTCCATCGTCTGTCCGTTTCGATAAGAAGACAATGCGAAAATGAATATAATTTTGCAAAAGCCTTTTTATATTTTTTATAATTAAAAGGAATCTGTTTTGAAAGATGAGATTGCAATGCTAAATTATCTACAGCGTGTTTGCATTCAAAACATTTAGGAGATGAAGCAAATTCCCAATCTTGCTTCAAAATGTCCATCAGACGTTGTTTTACCAAGTTTGAACTATTTACATTTAAGACATGTTGGGAGACCCAAAAGTCCATTATAACTGATGTGCCAAGCTCGTGTTTGACTTTCCAAACCCAGTTTTTACAATTCGGGTTAGCCTGTCATTCACTGTACTCGTAACATCCTTTTAAAATGCGAATATTGATAGAGGTTGGCTTACACCTATACTTAGATATTCTTAATGAACGCAAAAGAGAGAAAAAGCTACAGTACTGCAACCTCGGTACATTTGTACTTGACAGCTGAAATCTTCTGTTTAATGAAACTTATTTGTCGCCAAAAATATATATAGGGTAAAGTCTTGTAATGATTATTCGAACCGAAAGACTTCTATATCAAGGATCCTCAATAAAAATCATTCACAAAGAGAGTGAAATTAAGCAAATGTGTATACCCATTTTCAATGTAATTACATTATCATATCAATTTTCTGTTATCAGTTTCAATAATACTAATTTATTAAATAAAATGTGATGTGAAGGAAAGAGTATAATATTGATAACCTTTGTGACATATTCCGATTCACATTTCTCTGTTCACAGTAGTATAAAGGTAGGTCTTATATCAGAATGTTAATAAACACGATAACTGTTAAAGTAGGTGTTATTCTCAGTCCAGGGATCAATTTCAGTTCATAATATCAAAACGAAATGAAATCATATCACGTGATATTATCTCCTTCCGAATTTTATAGAGAATGATAAATCCTAATCTCTAGTTGAAAGAAACGCACTGCGTCTCATGTTAAAACTTAAATTCATGATCTAATCTCCAGTATATACAAAAACAATAACTGTTTAGTTATCTGTGTAATAACACCAATTATATCATTTCTCTGTTATTAGTATTATAACCCCATTACGTGAATACCATTTTATCAGTATAATAACACCCAAGATATGAATGCTGTGTTATCAGTGTAATAACACCCAAGATATGAATGCTCTTTCATCAGTGTAATAACACCCAAGATATGAATGTTCCGTTATCAGTGTAATAACACCCAAGATATGAATGTTCCGTTATCAGTGTAATAACACCCAAGATATGAATGCTCTTTATCAGTGTAATAACACCAAATATATGAATGCTGTGTTATCAGTGTAATAACACCCAAGATATGAATTCGCTTTATCAGTGTAATAACACCAAAGATATGAATGCTGTGTTATCAGTGTAATAACACCCAAGATATGAATGCTCTTTATCAGTGTAATAACACCAAAGATATGAATGCTGTGTTATCAGTGTAATAACACCCAAGATATGAATGCTCTTTATCAGTGTAATAACACCAAAGATATGAATGCTGTGTTATCAGTGTAATAACACCCAAGATATGAATGCTCTTTCATCAGTGTAATAACACTCAAGATATGAATGCTCTTTATCAGTGTAATGACACCAACGATATGAATGTTCCGTTATCAGTGTAATAACATCCATTACAAGAATTTTGTTATTCACACTTGTCATAACTTCATGGCATCGAAGGTATTGTGAAGTCACTAAAGATAGAGATCGGAAGCATTAATAACGTCAATGTAGACATATAGAAATCTTTTCTTGTGTTCATTTCAGCAGAGATTCCGAATAAATTCATGTTGTTCAATTACTATTCTTCCTTTTTTCCATTTGACTCATTTAAAATGGAAACTAAAGTAAATGTTCTTGTAGTTTCCTCTTCTTTAAACACATATGACCAACATTTATGAATATCTAATTAAATCAATACTCATTTGTCATAAGACCATCCGATAACGTACGATGGTGGATTACAATAGAGAAAATATATAAATCTGGTTTATAGAGGTCCTTGACTACGTTTGAGTGTGGAATTACGTGTATTATTTGCCTAAAAACCAAGGCCAAGTTATGGGTGGTAGTTAACATAAACATCCTTTTGATGTTTGTATTTTATTGAGGCATGTATATATAATACACTATATATCATGTCCCGGTTTTGTTTTAGATGTTGCATTTGCTTCTGTTTTAGAAGCATAAGGTATGCAGCTACTCCTTATGGCACGTCTAACACTATACTATACTACACTGTAAAATGTCAGACAACTGCATTGCCGTTTCTCAGGAGCAAAATCCTCCTAACTCGCGTCTCACAGTGACGGACCAATAAATCATACCATCAAGGACGGAAAAAGATTTTTAAAACAACGAAAAGACCTGATTTATCCCACGCAACATATCTGTTAGTAGGTATTACTCTTGCTTATAAGGCTAAAGACACACCACGAAAACCTACAACAGAATTGTCACTCGTTATAGCTCCCGACATCTACACTTTATTGGTAACTTTAATAACTTTAAGAAAGATCGATTCCTTGTGCCATTTGAGAGTTAATTGAGCACTCTGTGGAGCCGCTCGTGAGACTTCCAAGGCCGAAAATGTCTTTTTACTGAATGTAGCGGGAAAAAAACTGGCAATCTAAGATGTGGGTTTTTCAAGGGTAACGAACTCGGTGAATGGGAAAGACTTATTTGATCATTGGCCTGATTTATTTTGTGTGACGTCATATCTTCTGTAAATACATGTTAGTGGACAACTAACTTCAATTACGCACAAAATACAGCTTTAGCTGTCACAGCTATGAAATGTGTATATTATGATATAAAGTGAATTCTGACCCCACTCGAGTGAATTGTTGACGAGATTTGGTCTGGTATGACAAACTTGTCGAAAGCTTCATACAGGTAAGCATTCACCTACCTGTAGGTTATCAGTTTTCCCGATACGGGTGATATAGGGCAAGGCTCTGAGGACCTTAATGACTTCTACAACAAACCCGGGCCCAATATACAAATATACGTGTATCTTATAATGGCGTAAAAATTGAAAGAGAACTCCAATTTATAAAGTATTTTTAAAACGCATTATCCATTCACCAACATCTTTGAAAAGAAGATCTATTTAATAGACACTGAAAAAATTGTTATCAAAGATTGAAAATAAAAATAATTTTGTGAATAAACATACGTACGAAAATCTATGTAATGAATAGTGCCAAAAAGTTTCTACATTTATTTAAATGTGCTGTGGAGAGATTAACACTTACAGTAAGAAATATGTTGATTATGGAATACAGAGATTAGAATTATCATGTTTGAGAATTTGGATACTGTATTTGTGTACATGGTGCAATTTTATATCAATAATTCGAACTAATGCGTGTAGGTGATTACCTATTAATGAAAAGTACAAATAATTGCTGAGCAAAATATGTATATTTTGTAATTAACTAGACACCTATTCAAATAATAAATATAGATGTATATTCAAATAATAACAATAAAAGAAAGCTAGCTATGAGCCCCGAGTCTAAAAAAAGCCGAATTCCATTTAAACCACTTAATTACTTTTAAAAATGTAAATTTATCAAATTAAATAGACAAAACATTGACAATGAGACAACCATGTTAAATATATAGCTGTCAAAGAATTATTGACATAGCAAATTGTACCCCTGCCAATGTAGAAAACGGCCCCGTTATAAATTGTCCGCTTTATCATACCTGTTTACAAAATTAGGGCTTAGAACCTTTCGAATGTGAACAACTTGTTACTTGTCAACGTGCATTAGTCAAACGCCGTACGGCCTCTGCCAGTTTGTATATAGAAAATCTTTTCTTTCAGTGTGTAACTTTTCATTCACCCTTAGTCGTCATATCGCCTCGCTGATACACTGTAAAGGCAGTGAATGTTATCTTATAAGACCTCTCTCACAAAACTATGATACAGTCTGATAAATTAACGGGAAATGGTAAGATATGGGCCAGGAGTTTGAATTCTATGCTTCTACAGTTTACATTCAGATTGTAATCATTGAATATTTACCAAGTTCGTGCATGTGGTACAGGTACGATATAGGTACGCCTAGAGTCTACCAGCTACCGTAATAATCGTCATTAAAGTTGTGGATCGCTTTACGTTACTAGTAAGTGTTGGTAGCCTATCGATAGCTTCTCACCTGTGAGACCCTGGTATCAACACCACACTGTAAAGCAAGGTATTACATTACAATCGCTGCTACAAAGGACGCAGATAACATTAAAACGATGGAATGGTCATTAGGAGATGTCGGTCCCTTTGATGTATGTTAAGGTACATGTTTATTGGTGTTTACTACCAGCAGAAAAAGGACATGCACGTTTTAAAGGACGCAATAACATATTTCAATAGGTAGAATAAGATGTATCAAATATGTAGTGCACGTATTTTTCTAAAATTTCTACGTGTACAGAATATTTTATTTGAGTAGAAATTTGGAAATTTATCTAACCATGGTATGGGAAGTACAAAAGAGCGCTTACAGCTCGTGCCAGGCACTATCTTACTGGTGATAGGGTTTATACTAACTATTGTCGGAATAGCTTCTGCACACTGGTGTCATTCACAGGATAAAACTATATATATTGGACTGTGGGAAATATGTTTCCTTGTGAAAGAATCGGAAGTACAATGTTTCGAGTTCCGTGAACGGGATTATACGCCTAGTAAGTATAATACAATAATTCAATAAATACCATTTATAATGTAATATAATGATTTTCCTTAACTGTAATGCAGTTTCATGAATGTAGACCATAAACAGATCATCATGAGACACGTTATATCTAGTTATATGTTCATATTGTCTCTCATATTGAAACATGTTGTATGTACACATTAGTGTATATCATCTGCTATGCTGATTTTTCTTGCAATAGTATACATAGTGCCCACATCTGAGCTATAATGTGTTGCCATAGAGAAACAATTTCATGTAAATACTTCTGAAATAATTTGCACGATTACAAGTTGTTTAATATTCTAACGCACTGTTATACTGTAATACTATTTTCTCTAGAAAAATCATGTATTTAACATTTTGTCTTTTTGTAAGTACTCTATATGAAAAGAAATATTCTAAGGTCCCAGCCTAGAATTGTACAAAAACGAAACGGAATAGCATCTTTTTAACACAAATGTTACAGTTACGGTAGAGCTAAACAATGAATTTAATTGCATCATGCAACTGTGTCGTTCCTTCTATCATGAGTGATATTAGGGCCTAAAGCCTAGGATGCGACAAGGGAAAATGGCAAGATCTAGTTGGAAAACTGTATTAGTCACATAATTCAATAAATTTTATTTTCTTTATGTATCTTTTATCATTTTGTTTTTCAACAAACACAGTATGCTCTCCTTGTATAACATTGGCCTACAACCTCACTCTTGTCAGGATCCTGTGTAAATAACGTCAGAAGCTAATCAAAGATGTTAAAAATCAGTGTCATAAAAAACTAGTAAAAGTATATCATGTAAAACCAACATTTTATCCGAACAATTTATGCTATCATAACCAACATGGCGCACAAAACTTACATGAATTGCGTAAGAAGAAAGGTCAAAATAAAATAAAAAAAAACTAGTTTTTAAAACATGACCAGGATAGATAATGATCATACAATATCATATTTTTATAATGAGAATACAATATTGTACAACAAGTTTGTCTAAGTACTATTGATTTACATGGTAAATATACAGGTGCATGTGTGCTTATTCATACCGTATGTGCATGACCAAGTAAGTAATCCTTGTTTAACTTTTCCTGAAAAAATCAACTTGAGAGAACCTCACCTGTCAGTATCAGTCATTCTGTTTTTGGGGGCTTTTTTTTTTGGGGGGGGGGTCATTCAAATATTTGTTATTTATTGTTGTTTAATAGAAGTAAGGGACTGCTTCCTTTGTGTAAATACAATGTAGTACAAAGAAATAGAATATTTCTTAATGAGATCACTATGGCAACCCTATAACCTCATCATCATTTTCATTAACATTCATCCTTTGAAACCCTGTATTATGAGATTTGACATTTGACTTCTGGCACGTATTTATGTTTCTGTTTTATCTAGTTCTAAATTGTATTGAAACGTATTATTAAACTTGTGTTGTTTGGAAAATCTGTGTTTGAATAACTAAACTTTATACATTTGTATTTGATAGGATTTCACTTCATGTCATTAATCATGAATTACTTTACGATGTGTTAACATGACCTGCCATTTGTAACCATAAAGTATAGAAAGACGTAGCTTCATTAGGCTGACTTACATATGCACTGTGAGGTTTACTGTTACTGGTGATTTAAACCACAAAACCAAATCTTAGACTAAACCACAATAGCAGAGGTGTATTGACGTGTGTAGTAGTTTTGCTTTCACAATAGAAGGGAAACGGTAACGTTTACATTATACTTTTGGGATGGTAGAACTGTACTGTATTTTAGATCTAGTCTATGTCAGAGTAAAAGAATAAAATATAATTACAGCTGAGACAATTAGATTTAAATAGAATATAAACAGCTATGAACACTGATAAGGTTTCCCATTATTCCTTTTTTCGTCTATATCAAGTCATATAGACTGTTTTTGCCCAATCGCTATTACATACGATATCTGACCAAGTTGTATGAAACCCATTTTTGTCTACCGTTTAGAGAATTGTGAGCTCCCTAAAGTTGTTATAAACCAGGCTAAGTATAAATGTATAGACTATGCAGACAAACGATAACACGAAAAAGACTCGGTAAACATAGCTCACGGGACACTTTGTTTCTACTAATGTCTTCCCTTCGGTAATAAATTGTATAAATTACCGAAATATAACACGTATATCGACACTGTTTTAACGTAAATGCACCTTAACATATTTGCTGACCTCAGCTTTGTATTGCATTACAATAGAGACGTGTACTAGTCACACGATATCCCAGTGTATGTTGATATTTACGATGTTGATGATTTTAACAGTAAATCATACCAACAATGCTAGTCGTATCACGATTTGTACCCATTGTATGCTTATTTTATATCAGCAGTAAGCCCCTAAACTTGTATTGGTACTGTTCTTCACAAATAAATCACACAAATTGTTTAATGTCATCAACAGTCCGTGCACTGTCTGAGGATCAATGATAACATCTTAAACTACCAGTCCAACAATGTTTTTTTTTTCATACATTTTTATGTGTTCTTGGGTAGTAATGTCAAATATTCAAAAAAATTTAACGAACCTCTTGGTTATTAAGCATAAGAATATAAACGTAAAATGAGAAATTTGCTCTAGTTCTGGCATTCGGATTGTGCCGATCATTTGTTTTATTGTTTTGCTGTTTGTATAGTAAATAACTATTCAAATACAGCGAAGCAGGTGGAAAATATAGTAATTATTTCCATACATATCAGCCGCCATCTGCTCTTCATTGCAGTTATTGTATTCATCACCAGTGCGCTGTGTGTCATCTGCGCCATATTTGATTTTGTTGCTGTGCTTTGGGGTGTAGCAGCCATTTTCCAGAAGAAAAGACGTGCATTCAAATGGACACAGAAAGCGGGCATCATGGCTGCGTTTTCAGGTATAAAGAGACTTAATGGCTGTTAAATTGGTGTTCTGTTCTTGAAATGACATTCACTTGACTAAAGGTTTTTGATATTGCAGAACAACTGTAATAGTTCTGGGTAATGATATTTGTAACTGAAATATTCTTTCATCTGCATGTACATGAAGACATTATTCTTCGGCTGAATCGTCATCATTAATGCAAGCTAAGGTTGGGGATTTAATTTTACAACGAACTGACATGGAATGATCAATAACGACTTTTTTGATAAAATTTATTATTCAAGAACAAAAAATAAGTAATTTATTATAGCAGATATATATTGCTCCTGATTTCGGCCATTTCTCTTTGTCGCGTTGGTGGCGGCGCCAATGTAACAGTGCAACAATGCGACAAAAAATGCCTACGCGACAAAAGTACCACACAAAGGCGACTACGCGACAAAAAGGTATGTCGCGTTGGCAGGGTACTTTTGGTTCAGCAGGCGGATTTTGTCACACTGGTGTACTTTTTATTGTACTGTCGCGATGTCCCGTCGGCTGACAAAGCAAAACAGACGGAATAAGCCACCATAGACAGATGCTAGTAATTGAGGTATCATTCAGTTTAATCGTATAACTACCAAATGTAAATAATATACGTAAAGTTACAGAACCTATTAAAGACTGCATCTTCTAACAAAATCAGAAAAGTTGCATCATATTTCAAATACAACCGTAGAGAGGTATTAATTAAATATTCCAAGTTCCATTACAGTAATGAAACAGCATTTTTTAAATAAAAGATCAAACAGATCATCTACCTAAATAAGATAAAAATCGAAAGCCGTCTCTTGTGTGTACAATTTCGGTAATTATACCAACAAATGATGAAATAAACTTTATCATCTTCACATATTATCATGTGAGGACTATAAAGCGACTGTGTTAAGAATGCTACAATCTGCATCCATTACTCGAAACAAATCTAAAACTTAAAATAAATATCCCAATCACCATATCTTACTCATTACTGCACTGTATTGCCAATAACCTAAGTGATCCACGAGAACCCATTGATACAATTTTCAGCTTAAATGCATGTGAATACTCCAGTGACCGTAAAGATTTGGTTTCAGCAATATTACTCATAAGAGCGTACAAATGTGTATCAAAGTAAACATACATCACAGGGGCTTACAAAATGAAAATGAGCTTGAATTGGTCCTCTGTGGCACGCATGCTGGAATGACATCATTATTCATTATTGTTCTTCTAGATGTATTGGTGGTTATAGCTGTGTGCCTGTATGCAGCTTCATACGAAACAATCGAGTATCAGAAGATCCCACGATGGACGTCTGGGACAGACGTTAACCTTTCATGGTCCTTCTATGTCACTTGTGGAGCCGCGGTGACCATTCTTCTGGGAGCAACCATGTCCATCACCATGGCGCTGCAATCTTCGCCTATTTCTACTGTCCATGTGACGCCGATGACAACACACAGCCCATCACCTCTAATGCACCCGCCACCCAGCACGAGAATTCCATCCCCCTTCAGACTGCGTCCACGAGCGCCATCACCATTGCCATTTTCACGGGCTGCATTTCAAACTCCGAGGATGAATCATTCGCCCGTGTTGCCGTCTTAACATAGATGTGCTTGTGTGACAGACTGCTCGAGGCTATTGTTTTAATGATCAACGCCACTTGGTCTTGCCAGAATGTGTGATACAGTGTGTGGGAATATAAAAACAAATGAAGTTGCACAATCATCTATTTATCTATAAGAGGTGTTAATATGTGCGTTTTAACAAAATCCATGCAACAAAGAAATATGATTCATTCAATGATGATATGTTCACGCATGTGTTTTCATATCAAACAGAAAAAAACTAGTGAAATTAACACCTGTCCAAGGTCACAATTGTGATGATTGTATTGCAAAATTGTGGTGTCTGATCACAATATTTTCACTGATAACAATCATGGAGCAGAACTTATACTCGCTTGTTCGGTATAAGATTGAAGCCAATATATTGTCTAGATATATCAATGAACGAAATGGTTTACCATACTCGAGATTGTGCCATGAAGTACAGATATTCATATACGATTAAGATATCACATCATGATCCTCATATGGTACATGTAACGGGGTATTCATGTAATTCTTATTAAAATGAAATAAGAAATGGGACTTCACAATTTAGACTTACTGAAATGGTTTAGAGTAGCAAAATAACCACAAGGTGTTAACAGTATCGAGTGTAAAATTCCAGTCATTCTAGCAAAAGTCATAAAATTAAATTCCACTTTCGGCTTTGTGGAAATGCGAAATTATGCATATCAAAGTTAAACAAAAGCTCAAACTACCGACGTTTTACTGACATTTATACTTCATTTGTAAGTACCGAATGGAGAGTACGATTATAACATAGCCAGACATCGTCAACAGAAACACAACTACACAAAAGAAGAATCACATACGAATGATTTTCTAGAATTTTATTATCTGATAATTAAACTCTCTGATGTAAACATCTCAGAGTATTTCACAGAAAGATTTTATCACAAGTGTAAGTTTGGAGTCTTTCTTCAAATCTGAAGAGGACAATCTGCCCTCGCTCCCATACGCCGGCCGGAGTAAAAACATTTTGATTACTAAAAACAACATTCGTGTTAAAACTGACCATCAATGACCTAAACCCCAATATAAGCACCATACTCATTGTACATGTGGTGGTCATTAAAACAGGAATACATAACGAATTCCTCTGATACACGAAGCAAATATTAAACCATTACACATTAAAAAAATCTACATAAATAGGCGGATTTCTATTGTTGAATATTCCGAGAAGAAACTTAAAATAACACATGCACAACACCATGGCATGCACCAATAAGTAACATTTATAAACAAATTGATTGATCCCATAATTGTTATAAAATCAATAAGATATGCATCATACATTTAAAAATGACATTTACATTTTTAAAAAACATGAACTCTCAGCCACTGTAATAATATACTGAATAATCAAGGTGTGCTTTGCTTTTCTTTCAAAAACTTCAAATTCTATAGTTATTATAACATCTTACTGAATATTAATTCATATAAAATTTGCCACTCCACATTCTACAAAGATTAATCAGAGATAAGACAAAATAATGGCATATTAACTGTCAATAATGTCTCTTTTACATTAATTTGTATTTAATACAAATTACATGATGTGGCTTTCTCAAAAACATATGAATGTGCCATTATACGAACAAGTTATTCACGCTTCTATAGCAGATGTCAATTCTATACTACAATATGCATTAACTTTATTTATTTTGCAACTATCATAATCTGTTACAAAATTTTTAAAAAATATTGCTTTCGTGACATAAACTGTAAACCAGAGGTTCAAAAAACATGCATGTAACAGTAACAGCATATGCATAACAAATAGAATATTGCGATAAAAAATGTACAAAAGACACACACGTGAAAAACACCATAAGTTACAGGTAAATTTAGAATTAGAGACAGTAAAGAGTATATGAATTGCATCTTACAGATTTCTTCGTCCTTCTAGGAGAGGCAACTCAGGTAGGCCCAAAGTACACTAACCTCATAATTCGTAATTTTGATATATCTGATAATTCTCGAAAAACGCCAAGAACGTGTATATTCTGAACCATGCTACTATTCGCATAAATTAAAACGTGACATATAATCTTACATCAGCGGATATAACTTTATATTCTACATCATATTTGTAGTTATGTCTATCAGTAGACGAATTCATATACTACAGCAAATATACATAGCTGTATACTCCAGTGTGTCCCTGGACAGCATATATTACCAAAAAATATCATGAATACTACAGCAAATATAGATCTAGGTGTACCTCTCTATCAGTACATGGGACTGCGCTTATCAGTTTTTTATTTTAAACTACCATAATGGGCGTATTAGAGATCATGGTATAAAATGAAATGTACATATACATGTAATCACTCGTAATACTAAATAATACATTTTCAAAAACATCGCTTGATTTGCATGATTTTGATTGTGACGCTAATACTGCATATATCAAGACAGTGTATTCCTAGTAGACTATTCCTAAGATCTCCTCCACAACTCTTGCATCAACTACAACATCCACCGTTTTGCTTGTTGGTTCTTTTGTTATAACTCTCCTCTGTTTCGAACGAATCGTCGTAATGAGAAGTGTTGTTTTCTGAAGGTAAACTGATGTGTTCCGTAGGTTGCTGACTCTCGCATGGCAGTTCCAAAATGTGTTTTACTAAGTACCGCACAGCCTCACCTAGAGACAGATACATCTGATAAATTATACTGATTCATCTAGTGACATAAACATCATAAAATATACTGCTTCATCTAGACACAGATACATCTGAAAAATTATACTGATTCATCTAGTTACATAAACATTAAAAATTATACTGCTTCAACTAGACACAGATACATCTGAAAAATTATACTGATTCATCTAGTTACATAAACATTAAAAATTATACTGCTTCGTCTCGAGACAGATAATGTACATACTATAATTAAACTACTTCATCTAATGACAGATACATATTATAATCCTCACCGTCGCATCTCGGAACAGATGCATAAATGTCTAATTTAAACTGCATCTTCTAAGGTCAGAGACGTGATTATAATTCATGCTACCTCGATTCTGGATATATAGATATTTTGAATCATACAGAGACAGGTAAAAGTTATAAATTGTATTGCCTTATTTCGGAACAACAGCAATAAATAAAGTATAATGATTCAATTAAGAACAGACAAGTGTTACAACTGACAAATACGTATTTCTTAATTAGACCGATTCATCTAGGAACATTTACGTGTAGTAAAACATGGAGGAGCCGAGACCCACGGTTTGTACAAATTCGACAAGGAAGGCTTCAGACCAAATTTGGACAAATCCAAATCATTTCTACAGAAGCATTTAAAAAATTATCTCCTTCTGGTCCCATCCCTCAGTTCTCAGAGGGTCACACTCACAAGTTATATAAAATGGTGTTTACTAAAGGTTGTTTCTGATCAAAGTTGGTCAATATCCGCTCAATCATTCATGTCTACGATACGGCATAAACTCACTTTGGTTATTAAATCTTTCATGTGCAATGGAAATTTATTGCTGATATCACTCCACTTACTGATGTTTTTATCATCTTTTGCTGATGTAGGGAACCAGCCGATAAACTGATGCTCTTTACAAAACTGATCAATTTTGTGTGTGTCAGGATCCATGCCTTCCAAGTCACACTGAAGCACAAAGTAATCAGTCAGATGTACAGGAATTGTACGATGGTTAGTGATCGAATGAACTAATATCATAAGGAATACACCTAATATACAAATCAAATATCACTACAGTAATACAATAAGACAGCAAATTAAGGTCATAGGCATTTTTCAAAACAAAACAAATATACAAATTCACAATTATAACTGTCACATTATATCAAAACTGGAAGTCAGGGGTTCATGAGAATTTCAGATCAGTTTTAAAACGAGCATTTATTGTGATAAAATGCATCTATATATTGAAAAACATCGCTCAAAATGATACGAAGCACATGTAACGAAGATATGGGAAAATCTGAATAGATATGGAGATTTATTCAATAGACTTATGCAATAACTTCACATTACACGAACCCAACTGTGACTGTTGGAAATTAGTAAAGCGAGATGCAGAACATTGATAACTGAACAAGACTACTAGACATGGAAATAACTGATTACGTGACAGACACAGAAAGAAACATCTAATTGTTCCATTTCACTCACCTTATTGGCCAGCAGCAAGACTGGCACTGGCTGTTCATTGGCTAACATTACTTTAGAATTGACGTCATTAAGCCACTGCAAAACAAATATAACGCATATACGCAAGATAGTCCTAGTTAAGACGAATCCCTAAATTTTAAGGCGTCTTCTAAACTTATCAAGGTATCACTATATAATTCCTATAAGACAGTTCCAAAATATTTTGTACAAAAGTCACCCTCGATACTCCAAGGGTTACGCTCACTACCGCTCACTGCATCCCTGGAACATTTCATGTGCAAAATTTAAGGTTCCATGTGGACAAGACAAGAAGACTCGTTTGATCCTTTGATGCACATCCTCGTATGTTGTACTGGCTGTGATTGTTTAGAAAAGGACCAATCAAATTACTTCGCTGATGCCTTAAACTTTGTCAGGGTGTGTTCCAGGGGTGCATATAGTGAACATGACCGTAACAACTGGTGTAACGAGAATGTATATAAGCGCAAAAATAATCTATCCAAAGTGTGGATGTTATAAAAAGATATTTTGATGAAAAACAATACAGGGGGATTTGGAACTCCAGCTCGGACATATGAAATTGTATGTTGCATGAACTGGAGCGTCATTTCTAAACGTCATGAAACAATTTAAACATAAATAACCAACCTCTGGGCCATTAAAACTGTCGGGATTGGTGTTCACGATTGTGTAATCTAATGATATACATTCGTTTCTCCTGACTCCCTTAAATCTCTGATAAATCGTTTTTTTTCATATTTTCTACTACTTAACACAAACACAAGGAGGATAACACTTATAATATCCTTTCAATTCATCATATTGAGGGCAAGTTATATATGTAACACTAAATCAACCAGCACTTCTTCATAAAGTATTCATAACATAAACTTCAGCAGTCGTAAGTATGAAGCCACCCTACTGATCACAAACACCATAGAGATATTGTAAAAAGGTTAACTTAATAAAACATTACTAGGGCTTACACGAACAGAAATTTACCTTAAATTAGCTATAACGTTTAATTGTGTTCTATATCACTTGATATAATGGGTATGAACAGTTGATAAAGAAGGAGAACATTCGAACGGTTTTTTCAGTATTACAAGGCTTATGATGCAAGCATAGATCGATCTCGCATGTAAAACTTAATCTATTAAAACTCAATCAATCACTCTTACCTTCAACACGGAATCAAATGTGGCAGGTCTGTGAAATATAAAACGAGACAATAAAGGGCGTGTCAATGTTTAAATAGCCATGTCTTATAGCGCTGGTATTCTGGCGCCACATGCAAGTTAATGAAATTGTAAAAGTTCCGTAATGTAAATAATATATTGATTAAATGCAATTATATTGCTACACATTTTTAATGTTTACTTCTCGCACTGTTACCAATATCAAGGTTATATTTTATAGATAGATAGATCGCAAATCGCAAACAATGTGGCGCCATACATGAAACTTGAATCTAGCCAATAGATCTCAACTTAGGAGCATGTATCGCCAATCAGATGACTTATTCAATAATCTTTCAACTCAAAAAACTTGGTCGTCGGCAATATACTATTCAGAGTTCCTATGCCATTCAAAGAATATATGAAAAGTATTGGCCCAGAGAACACACCAATTCTATATCCTTCAGAAAAACGTCTAATTCCTGTTTATCATTCCACAAAGGTCAAAAGAAGAGAAATAGGCCAGCTAGAACTAACGTTGAATAATGTCTCCGTCAGAAACTATCATACAGATCCATACACTCTTCCATCAGCACTTGTACACCAACATTCGCCGTATAGGACAAAAGGACTACATGGCCAGATCAGAGACATATATAACAGGTGTTGTGAGAAATATTGAAACTGGACATCATTTTCTTCTGTAACATCATGTCTCAGTTCATTGTCGAAACAACCAGAAAATTAAGAATAGAAAACCGAGCGAAACATCGTAAAATCAAACTCTGCTCGTCGGAGATAATAAGTTAACAGATATTTTTGGGTAACTGACAACAACTACATTAAGAATAAAAAACGCGGGAAAAAAGGGAAGGAAGAACAAAATAAAACATACATACATACACACATACATACACATACACACATACATACATACACACACACATACATACACACATACATACATACACATACACACACATACACACATACACACACACATACATACATACACCCTCACACACACACATACATACACACACACATACATACATACACACATACATACATACACATACACACACATACATACATACACACACATACATACATACACCCTCACACACACACATACACACATACACATATACATACATACACATACATATACACATACACACACATACATACATACACACACACATACATACATACACCCTCACACACACACACACACACACACACACGCACACATACATACACCTAAATATACATTGTATATGTGAATATACAAGATTCTATTAGAAGTGCCTTAATTGAGAAATAATGTTCCTAATGGAAATGCCCTTAATTGACTGACCATAACCTTAGGATTGAGCATGAATTATAAAGGAATCCCATTTATTACAGTCGCTGCATAGTAGATTATATGTAGCTTCGAATATTATGATCTAACAGCAAGGATATTGTCTAACACCGAGACAGTTAGGATTGTAACTAGAGCAAAATTGCCGTTAATTAATGATAATATTTAACTGTAAAAGTGTGCAAATGTGTGTGAAATTTGTCACTGTACATATTTTGTGATTATCAATAATAATGTAAAAAACATCAAACAGAAAAAAAAGAAAATTGCAGTGAAAAAGCTTAAGTGAACAATATAGAGTGACAATCCCAATGTCTTAAAAATAGTGCAACAATGTGTTAATATAATTCCATTGCTTCTAAAATTGTGTAACAATGTGTTAATATATGAATAGGTGAAAAAGTGAACGAAATAAAAACAATTATGATGCTTTTAAAATATTGCCAACAATGTGTTAATATAATTCCAATGTCTTCAAAAAATAGGCACAACAATATGGATGTGTTAATATTGAGTACCTACCTGGACAGATCAAAAACAATTATTGCACCAATTCTGAAATGATTCAAATAAGATATTATTTTATATCTACATGAATAACCACAAATAGTTGAAAATGCTTGATTATATGTACTGTCACACTGAAATATCACATCCATCCATGCAGTTTAAAAGATTGTTATTACTATCTACCAGTAATTATCATTACTGTTTATCCAGTTGACTAATATAATATATCAATTACAAAATCATAAGTCTATGATATACCTACGCATATTTGTAATAAACTCTTGTCATGTGTCCAAATCGTTCATGTCCTGCTATATCCCTGTAAAACAGTAAGTCATACTAAAGATTTGTAACATTTTCAAAGGATATGATGTATTAAGATGATGTATTTCTAACTTGTACACAAAGTATTTTGGTTATTGGTTCTGACATTGAAAATATTTGAAATGTCTAGCAGAGTTTTGTTTTTTTTTATTTATATTATCCCTTATCAAACAGAAATACTTTTGGTGAGCACCTACATGTACTCTCTATTATTGTTTCTCAAGATTATTGTGTATCGTTTGGTTGTTAAAGTGTATCTCCTCTCCAATTGGTTTTTTTTTTTTTTTATTTTTCCTTCAATTCTTCCATAACCTAAAAGTATTGTTATCCATAAAAAATTGAGCATCACACTCAATATCAGAAATAAGATGAAACGATAATAATGAGGGGAAAAGACAAAAACTGCAGCTTAGTAAGAATATGGGTTAGAAAAACATATCAGTATGCTAGACATTCTATTAGGCATTCCTAAGTTTGGTCCAGGTAAATAGGCAAACACCTATTCCAGTATTGGACTGTGGATCTTAAATTTAACATAAAACACTTCACAACAATCTAACAACAATCTAACAACAGTTTGTTTGGTCATTTAAGTGAAAATCCTGAAACCTGATAGAAGACGAGCCATTTCCAAATATTCAATAAAATCAAATGAAGGGGCATAACTCTTCAAGAAATCAAGAAGGAGCTAGAAGTCTTGAATGAGTGAAAAACTGCTTTTCAAAAACTTATAAATATATACAATATGCGCATATTGACTATATAGAGAACCAGTGGAAGCTAATGATTATGTTATGAAGTAAATTAAATATGTGGCACATCTTTATACTATGTTCTGCAGCCATGACTTCAATATTTGTATCATACACCAATTTTTCAACTTAATCAGGATACATCAATTACTCAGTCAAAATTCAGTTCATGACAAACTATCAACTGATCAACATATTACTACTGTAACGAACTTATACATTTAATAATAAAATTTAACAGTCACACAGACTTTCCTTCTACAGTATTGTAAAGAGTAGGCCTGTCCCTTCACCTTAATATAAAATTTTGTACAAATTTCCCAAAATATCATTGGCTATTGATTCTACAATTCAAATTGTGCGTTTCTTTTTTTGTTGAGTATATATAACTGTATTTCGAAACTCTGCACAAATAGATTAAGGAATGTTTCAAATATCTACAGTAATACTTGGTTCATCAACTCAATTAAAGCTCATATCAGTAGTATATGTTACTAATGTGGAATAATGAGGGTAAGAAAAAGCTGCAGAGGAAAAAAACCAACTGTTTGAATTCCAAATTGTATATTGTAATATTAATACACATAGGGTATATAGCAACACTGTAATAAAGGGATGTATATGTTTTTACATAATTACATACAACAAGGAGCACTTTTCCTATTAATTTCTGTGCCTTAAAAGCTGTAGCATGCCAAATAATAGTGTTTACTTGTGAATTTATGTGCCATTTCACCATCATTAAGTTGTGCACATAAACAACATCCTTGTAGTCCCATTTTGCAAGCAAAATGCAGATGTGTGTTAAAATAGGAATTTTTGTTTCAAGTGAGGGAGGAACTCATTGAAGAGACATAATCAAATACACAATATGATAGAGAGCTAATGGCTGCATTGTGTCAATTAGAGTTGGATCTATGTTAACAAGTTACAATAAGTGGTATTTTATTCCATCATCATTACAGAAAGGTGATTCTTGTTTCAAATCTTGTATGATAAGGTCAGGGAAAGTGGCATGTTTTTCTAAAGGACCAATTAACAATGCACAAATTTACTTTGTCTGAAGGGAAATAACTCTTACCCACCATAGTTGCATGTTGACTTTAGTGTTTTCATCCCAAACAAGTGACTTCAATGCAAAATCTACACCAATTGTTAATTTGTAGTTTGGAGAAAATGTTCCTAAAACATGAGGAGATTTAAAAAAAAACAATAGTTTCAAAAACTTATCAAAACAGTCAAATTATCAAAACTAATATACTTATTATAAAAAGTGTAATATTCAATTGCAACAAGTCTACTTGAGTGTTTTAGAAATGTTATATTTTGGAACTTAAATAAGGATATAATAGGATTTTAATTTCCAATATTCCTAGTCATCTCAATTCCGACAATCTAACACTATGTGAAGGACCAGAAAAAATTCAAGTCATGATCTGGTACTCATATACTCAACGTTCAATTCTTTAAAGTATCATACTGTAAGACTTATCATTTCTTGTCAGTAACAGTTGTGATGAAACAGAAAAATATACTTGGACTATAACAATCTGTCATTGCAGTGAGATAAATTCAAAGGCATACTCACCACAACAGGTGGTTGAATGTAATACAGGCGTAATTACAATGATTACATGTATTCATAATGCTATTGGTTAGTTTCCATGCATTGTCAGCATGCAAATTAGATAAGTGAAATCAGTTGTGGTATTGTGATTTTACTGTTTCCACATACATAGCATCTGATATATCCACTAGACAGGTGATGTATAGATAGATACAAACCTTCGGTATATCTTCTGATGATGGAAGTTTTTCCTGATAAGAAAAATCAAACATTGTATGATATTAAATTATTGAGCTCCTACCATAAATATTTATTGTTTTATTGAAATTGAGAAAAGAAAGCTGAAAAATAATAATAACATATCTACCATATATTAATATACCCGCTTTGATTTTAAGAATCATTGACTTTAGCCTCAAGTTTTCAGCATCCTCCAATGCTTAAGAATTTAAAGCTTCGGATTTCATCCCATGACATTTGTAACATATATTAGTACAAAGGCGTAGAAGTCAATCACTTCTTCAGGTCCTGAAGAAGCCCCAATAAGGGGCAAAACCGGTCGACAAATAAATTTATGAACCAAGCCTCTTTGCCTGTTGTGATTGACTTCTACGCCTTTGATACTCAATTTTCCTTCAATCACCCTGCATACTTTCAGGTATTCAGACAAAAAGGGGAAGGATCCTACTAACCTCAAACCCAACCACACCCGGTATTGGCTCTACTACCCCCCTCTATCATATATTAGTACATGTACTGCTCTCTGCCGGCAATTCAGCTTTTGATAAGTATCACTATGGACTGGTTTAAGTCTGTTGTTAGAGTAATTTGACCAGATAGGTTGTCCTGATACAGTTTGTCTAGCATGTCCATATCACAACATTTTAGTATGATGGCATGTTGTATAGCTGTAGAATATTGCATGCCAGATATATCTATCTAATGCTTCTCTTAAATCATTTTAGTTAGAAAATGTATAACAAAGCATTGAATACAATGGTACATTAACTTTCTTTCAAAAATGGTTCCTAAAACATTCTACTTATTTACTGAGAAAGAAATCAAAGTTTATCTTAATACCAGAACAAATTTTCTGATTATGAGTGTCTAATGTTATGAAATTACCTAATTTTCTGTTGATGGTTTACGTAATCAATAATTTGGAAATTTTTATTTAAGACATTTGTTACCATTCATGTTGATGCACATTCAAATTATCAACAGCAAACTCATATAGGGAATATAAGTCTAGGCAATTACTTAAGATTTTAATAAAATTAATTAGTAAATCAGATTCCCATTATAAGATTTAATGGGTGTCTTTCAATTTTCCTTGAAACATACAATGAATCATTAGTCAATAATATATTATGGTATGGTGCAATAATGCCACTAGCAGTCTTAAAAATTAAATCATTCTTGATAACAGGCGTGTAATGTGCATGTATGTACTGCATCGACAAGGGATTACAGTAAAACAGCCTGCAAACATATAATATTCAACTGTATATATATGTACAATGGTATTTTATTAATCAGCTAAGCAACAAGAAAGTAGCATTTGGGTATAAATGGGAAGATTTGGGTTATTCGGCGTGCCGTTGAATTATGGAAGTTGATATATACATTGTTCATTGTCAATGTATTTGTCAGTGTCCTAAACCTTACGTGACTGTCATATTACATGCAGTAGCAAAGCAGTGGGTTCATAATACAGTACACGGTGCAGACTGGTCAGCTGTTGAGTGTTAGTAGACATTTAAAGGAAGTAAAAAAATGTCTTACTTGCAAGAAACAGTTCGTCATGAGGAATTCTATAGTTTATACAATGTTTCTACGTCTGTTCAATATATACGACCATTAATTTACTCACTTACCTACTCCGAATTCTCCGATCACTAATATTTTATACAAATGTTCATGATTGCTACCAGGAGTCGACGCCGCCATCTTGGATTATCATGTGATATGTAGGTCACGTGATCACGATCTTCGAAAATGAAAGTAGAAAACCGATAAGTTAACCAGAGTTCGCATAAAGAAATTCAATTATATAAATATTTACATATATAGATATAATGCGAAAATGGCATGAAAATGTGGTAGAAGATCGAACGATATAAAATGTTGACATTATTAGTACATGCTGCGGTTTAATGCGCAGGTCACTATGATAAGTAAATTACTTAATTTGCATATCGTATGCAAATACTTACAACAAAAATATGCAAGAGTGACTACCTTAGAACGACAAAAAGCTTAAAAATCTTGTCAAACAAAAGCTCAACATTTCAGAGTTATATGACGTGATAAGCGCCGCGTTACGAGCCACATCCCCTAGAACATGTAGGAGAGTTTGAATAACCTGACTGTGTGAAATGTTTTATATATTTATTTTTCACTTTAACTTCAGTCTATTCTATCATTTTTCTTGGAAATTTTCAAACAATTATAAAGATAAATTGAATATGTCGATCTATGTCTAGTTGTTTTTCTGTGACATATCTTTCGATTAATGTATTTTTATGCTCTTATGCATTCATATTCCTCACATAATAAGACCCCTCGCGCGCATACATCCGGGCTAACAAGAGTGATATTTGTTTCGCCATTGTTGTAAAATAAATAAAGCTTATATATATTTATATTGTGAATATATATTACCGGTAAGTATATACATTACCTAATATGTTCATGTATTAGAAACAATAAATTAAGCACTCCTCATATATGATAGTTAGTAGTGCGATGTCGCGAAATCAATGCTTTATTATGTTCTACTTTTTGTACACGTGCTCGTATGAATTACTCACAAACACTTTATCAGTAACTATTTGATATTATATATCTGACATCCTAAATATATCATAAATTATCAAATCATCAGATGATGTACCTAGTATATCCAAAAGGATCATGTTCCTGTATATTACGAGGCCTTTATAATTCCATGAAGTACAGTATAAATATCACACTGACTTCCCAAACTTCCATCACTGTACACGTGACACAAAAATATTGGTGTTGTCTCCCTTCTTCTATATTCTGTTATCTTGTCTGTTTTAAAACTAGAACATCATATGAACCTTATATTTGACGATAAGATGAAACTAAAAACTTGATAAAGACTTCCGTACACAACAGTTTGGAACTGTGTCGACTTTACCATGATAAATGTTTAGAAAAAAGATGATAGAATATTACACAAGCTTCTAATTCGTACTGAATTTATAAACGAGTCTCATATTCAGTAAAGCTCTTTATTTTTTCCGGATTTGTGATGATGTGCAATGTACATGTATAATGAGAAATCGGAACAAGTTCCATAAATCCATTTGCATCAAAATAACAGTTTCTAACACTGATAAAAGATCAGATTTGGCGATTGTTTCACCCAGCATCTCTTTCTGTGGTGCCTTCACAATGTAAATGACGTCATCCATTAAAGACATCACACTCGATCATAGTGAAGTCTATGTACATGAATGTTATTACAATAATGAAAAGAAGCTCTGTGGTAAATGATTCCAGTGTTTTTCAAAATATTGCTGTAGGGTCTTAGAAAGCGAAAATATCGACAAGAATTTCTGTCTTTTTTTTCGTCGTATAACAGTCAGGAGAAACTGATGTGGCACAATAGATCTTTGAATACAGCGAGTCGATCAGAATCTATGATACATGCATTTGTGGCGATCTATATGGCTCCCTCTACGTCCTCATTGCGTCGTATCATCAGCAGTCCATCTCGAATAGGAACCAACACCTGTCACACAAGAAAGAGGGATATACATATCGTATATAACGGAGAATAGGAGATAAAATATCTATAGATTGTGTAAGGTAATTCTAATATCTCACCTTTAACCTCGGGCAGATACAGGGCCAAAATAGTAATACTATTATCACTCATATATATGTATATATATAGAAAAACAAAACAAAAAAATAAAAAAATAAATAAACAAACAGAAATCAGTTTTAACATTTCAGCAGTTCTGACGAATAAATATAATGACAAAGAAAACATTCTTTTATTAAATAAGATGAAATCTGGACCTACAAGCCCACACCTAAACCGTAATACTCAGCTGTTGACTTACTTCGTTTTGTTACTGTCCGTATACTAGGGCAATGCAAATATATATAAAAGTTACATCGTTTCGTTTTTAAAGTGGACTTTAACAACGCGTGTTAATCCTGTTTTAGGTACCATGTATTCTTTGTTCCGACCGCCGAGTATTGTTAATATATAAATGTGTCTTGTTCAAGAGATCCAACAGTTACCTCCTCTGTCCCCACTTACCTGATAAAGATCTTGGTTCTTTGAAATGAACTCATTGAATTCATGTGTGGTTTGACCAAATTTCATTTCGTCCCTGAGGTAAGGGGACCCTTGAAAAAGCGCATTGTCTATCAGAATTGTTCCTCGTGGAGACAACATGTTGTTATCCATTATAATCTGAAACAGGATGAAAGCAATGCAATCAAGGGCCTATCCCAATTATTTTTAATTTTTTTGTTTTAGAAAGGTATTGAAAATAAATACGATATCATCAGGTATGCAGACTCATATACAAACGACACTTCTTAGTTATACTGGAATACGGTAAGTGTCGAATTTTGGTTTCATTTTTGTTTTCCTATCATGTCTCACAAACAACTGACAAACAAGTAGATCCAAAGTAACCTTTACCTTAAAGTAACTTAAGTAATCATCTTTGTTGGCGTCAAGAAATATAATATCAAATTGTTCTCCGTCTCTTGCTAATTTCCTCATTGTCTCCAGAGCTGGTCCTGTAAAATAAAGCCGTTTTTTGTCTCAGAGAAATGAAACATGATGATCAATTCAGATATAAGAATTATGAAGATTAAGTGGCACTTACTTGAAATACCTGTATTGTACTTCGTACTTTACAAAATTACGGCACTATGTCCTTAATGATTCTGATTTGTGAATAATCATTTCACGTGAAAACATCTCATTGCGGTCTGTATTTCATTGTGTATCCTTTTTATTACCTTATCCAACATCTTTTTCAAGTCAGGAGTCAGTATCAGAACTTACCTCCCCTGATAATCACTTTCTTTCCATGCGGTGATTGGTCTAAATAACTTCGAGCGAGATCTTGTATATATGGCAGAATTTCACATGAAACTACAGTGCCATCCACAGGAAGAGCCTCCGCAATGGTTAAAGCGCCACATCCGGTAAATAGTCCCACTTCTAATACTTTCTTACTGTTACTCATACTCACTAAAGTTTTGAGGAAATTTCCTGAAAGGAAAACAATTCCTGTTTAAGGCGAATATTAACCTTGATGTTCCCACACCAACGTTGCGTAAAAAAGAACACAATATAAGTTATACAGAATCACATTTAGTCACTGACACTTCTACTAAAATTTTGTTGATCCAAGTGAAAAGGACGGAAGACATGTTCCAGTCAAATTATTTCAGACATTCGTGTTAGATATATCTATGTAGATCTACATCACAATGATTTTGTAAATGATACATAATTACAATCGTACATAGCTTAACAACAACACAGTAGTGACGTGTAAGCTTGGCCGCAGCTCTACCTCAAAAATTGATAGACGAGGTCGATATAGAACCAAACAGATGAACAAGGAAACCCTTAAAAAAGCACCGAGATCAGACCTTTCTGTTTCATCTATCAAACTAGCCGTTTTGTATAATGAAGGATCTTTACAATGGAACATCTAAAGGACGCAAGGAAGGACTATTGAGACTGATCAGCAAACTGATAGTTCCTTCCCGGAAGTCGTGTCAGATATTTGTGTTTCAGAATCATTCAATTGCTTTACCTTCTAGTTTTCCCGAAACCATCATTGGATGCATGAAGGGGATCGTCCCCTCTTTGCTGAGCTTGCTCCATGGGTGACAAGACGTCTGCTCCATTATGTAACGAACACCCTGGCTGGCTGGAGAAGACATATTCTCACAGTACTCATCTCGGGCCTCGGAATAGAGAGACGGACATTATTGAACTTGTTGGTATAAACAATTGTATAGGCTAGAATATATGGATTTAAAGTGTTCAATATTTGTCAGTTCTACCAAAAAACACACTGCCTACAAAGGTAAAATCGTGAACAGTACCTACAAAGGTAAAATCGTGAATAGTACCTACAAAGGTAAAATCGTGAACAGTACCTACAAAGGTAAAATCGTGAACAGTACCTACAAAGGTAAAATCGTGAACAGTACCTACAAAGGTAAAATCGTGAACAGTACGTACAAAGGTATAATCATAAACAGTACCTACAAAGGTAAAATCGTGAACAGTACGTACAAAGGTATAATCATAAACAGTACCTACAAGGTAAAATCGTGAACAGTACCTACAAAGGTAAAATCGTGAACAGTACCTACAAAGGTAAAATCGTGAACAGTACCTACAAAGGTAAAATCGTGAACAGTACCTACAAAGGTAAAATCGTGAACAGTACGTACAAAGGTAAAATCGTGAACAGTACCTACAAAGGTAAAATCGTGAACAGTACGTACAAAGGTAAAATCGTGAACAGTACCTACAAAGGTAAAATCGTGAACAGTACCTACAAAGGTAAAATCGTGAATAGTACCTACAAAGGTAAAATCGTGAACAGTACCTACAAAGGTAAAATCGTGAACAGTACCTACAAAGGTAAAATCGTGAACAGTACGTACAAAGGTAAAATCGTGAACAGTACGTACAAAGGTAAAATCGTGAACAGTACGGTAAAATCAAAGGTAAAATCGTGAACAGTACCTACAAAGGTAAAATCGTGAACAGTACCTACAAAGGTAAAATCGTGAACAGTACCTACAAAGGTAAAATCGTGAACAGTACCTACAAAGGTAAAATCGTGAACAGTACCTACAAAGGTAAAATCGTGAACAGTACGTACAAAGGTAAAATCGTGAACAGTACGTACAAAGTTAAAATCGTGAACAGTACGTACAAAGGTAAAATCGTGAACAGTACGTACAAAGGTAAAATCGTGAACAGTACCTACAAAGGTAAAATCGTGAACAGTACCTTCAATTCCTTGATAATTACACCTATAAGGATGTTTATTCATGAGAAAACGACCTCTCGGTTTACAGTCTAGAAACAACACGTAATGTATTCAGATCGACTTACCAGGAAGCTATGAAGACATCGTTTGATTTGTTTCTGGACTACCTCAGGAACTGCGTGTTCTTTAGCAAGATCTTCGAGCTGCCAAAGGTTTCGGACGGTAGGGTCCATATGGTACTTCTCCGAATTCATACTGGATGATCTCTCTTCGTGTTACTAAAAAAAATATTGTTATATTGTATAACTGTTTTCATATTAAAGACCGATTTTGATTTTCCTCACCTGCCTCCTTTTTCTATCATCTTTAATTCTCTTATCACTGACGAGTCCTAGAGGGACAAAACAACTGTGTTACGCTAACTAATTTGTTAATTAATTCTGAATTGTATTAAAATGTGTGAGTATCCTGTATGTCCTTTGTATATTCCTCTTCAGTTAATATTATAATATAAGGAAGATAAATTAATTTTATGTCAAATACATCGAAACATGAATTAATGCAACATATACAGAAATACTTACACACTGGCGAACTGCTGTATCAACAACTGCTGTGACCACTGTTGTGGATGATAGTAAATCAGGCACAACGCGATGTTCTAAATTATAACCCCTTCTCCGCCTAGGCTTCAGTAAATACACTGCCTACATTGCGTCAATAACTTCATACTTCCCTACGTCCAGAAATAATTCTGCTGTCATGCGAGTAGAATTTGTACAGATAGTAATTTTGTCAAAGTAGATGTTTTATACTATTTACGTTTAAAAGCATATGTGTAATTGGTATTGGTATTAGTATAACATCAATACTGTGTGTATTGGTGTTACATCCATAGTGTGTGTTTTTATATTTTATTTTGTTTTAAATCAATATTATGACTGAAGTAAGTAATATTTCAAATCTTGTTATTATATCATGTTGTCCTTATCAGAATACTTAATACAGTTAAGCAGTGATGTCTAACGGATGCTGAATGCTAAATTCGTAATAATACATAAGATTTATTACTTTTTAAAATATTTGCCTGCCATTTTGTTGAAAGGGACCCCACGCCTACAATAAAAGTATAGACAGCAATGTCGATATTGTAAATTTTTATCAAAAGTAATTAATATTCATTTAAACCACAATGTTGTTGTAACTGAAATAATGATGCTTTTATCATCTTTTATTTCATTCTGTAAACACTTGTATGTACTATTCTAAAACACAAAAGACAATATCAGAATGTAAATATAACAATACGACTGTTAAATGGATAGCATCTCAGAATAAAAACAGTCGTTCAAAAAAGGTGCGTGTCAACGACATATGCCATTTGAGTCAAAAATCAAAATCCGTCACGTTCTCAAAATGAATTCCTTTAATCGACAAATATCGCAGAAATTAAATTTATTTTACACATCTCTTACAGGTACATATTGTATGACACTGATACCACGTGACATGAAATCATCACTTAAATGAACAATGCCAATAATGTTTAACTTTACATTCCCTAAAAAGGCGATATTTTCAACCATCTAGACATTGTTCATGAATTTCACTATGAAACCTGTCAACACACACAGTACACAATATTAATACAAAGCTAGTTAGTTTGGGAGGGAATTCATACCATTTACTTCAATTCAGGATTCAGTAGTTCATATACTTGTGGTCTTACTGGATGTCATTTATTCGGTTAGCTTTTGTGTCTATACGGTATGAACGTTTTGGATAAGACATGTGTCTACCAATGATCGTGTTTAGTAAGACAGGTGTCCATCGATGACAGTGTTTAGTAAGACAGGTGTCTACCGATGATCGTGTTTAGTAATACAAGTGTCCACCGATGATAGTGTTTAGTAAGACAGGTGTCTACCGATGATCGTGTTTAGTAAGACAGGTGTCTGCCGATGATAGTGTTTAGTAAGACAGGTGTCTACCGATGATCGTATTTAGTAAGACAGGTGTCTGTCGATGATAGTGTTTAGTAAGACAGGTGTCTACCGATGATCGTGTTTAGTAAGACAGGTGTCTACCGGTGATAATGTTTAGTAAGTATTGCATGTGTTCGATATTAATTGATCTCACTTCACATCAACTAAAACGTTTTATTTGTTATCAAAAAGAGCATAGAGGTGTGTGATAATGATTGAAACATTTAAAATATCTAAAATCTGTTAGTAAAACAAAATATTTTGCGAACAATATATCATTGTTAAAGTCTAGATAAGGCTCGCATAGGTTTATCAAGTTATCAGTTAGTTATCAGTTAGTTAGTTAGTCAGTCAGTCAGTCAGTCAGTCAGTCAGTTAGTTAGTTAGTTAGTTAGTTAGTTAGTTAGTTAGTTAGTTAGTTAGTTAGTTAGTTACTTAGTTAGTTAGTTAGTTAGTTACTTACTTACATCAACTAAAAGTTTTATTTGTTATTAGTTAGTTAGTTGTGTGATAGTTAGTTAGTTACTTAGTTACTTAACAGTAAGTTAGTTATTTAGTTAGTTATTTAGTAAAACAAAATATTAGTTAGTTAGTTATATTAGTTAGTTAGTTATTTAGTTAGTTATTTAGTAAGTTAGTTAGTTAGTTAGTTAGTTAGTTAGTTAGTTAGTTATTTAGTTAGTTATTTAGTAAGTTAGTTAGTTAGTTAGTTAGTTAGTTAGTTAGTTAGTTAGTTAGTTAGTTAGTTAGTTAGTTAGTTAGTTAGTTAGTTAGTTAGTTAGTTAGTTAGTTAGTTACTTAGTTAGTTACAGGTTTTCGTCTCCGCGACTCTTCCCGTTGCCGAGTATCGTCTCACCGACGAAGGTCAGTCTTCTAGCGACGTAAGGTATTAATATTCACACAAAAGCAAACGGTCCGTGAAAATAAGCAATTAATTGACAGTCATTCACGGTATCATGTTGATACATTTCATCGATTTTATCCTTTGAAAATAATCAGATTTCACATGCATATGTGTTTAACATACATGCACAGCAAGATTTCGTTTCGTAATATTACATACCCTGGCAAGGTACATGTACGTTCTAATGTCGCCGTATTTGCTTCAATAGTTAGAAGAATAGATGTACTATCATAATTGAGTAAATAACAACATATGTGACCTGACAACTGACATAGAATATGTACCGACGTCTTTTAACAGACAAAAAGGTAATTACATTAATATACATTCTAATGATAAACGTGTCTCCTCGTATACTCTCCATGAAGAAAATTACTGTAAAATCCTTTACTAAGGTGGGACTTGAATTTCCTGGGTTTGCATGATTTCATGGATTTATTGCAACCAAATTATTCACTGACATAAACTTAAAGTCAACAGTTTCTACTCAATAAATTCGGATATTAAGAGCATATACGAAATCGATAACAACAAATTTAACGAACGGAAATTACTAATTTCACTTTAGTGTTTTATCAAATTATTATTTACATAAAGACCATAGGTGATTTAAATACAGATATGACTGACCACAACACACCTTAAAGGTATTAACATTTCGGGAAGTGGTTCGACTTGCCTAAATCACGTAGTCACATTTAATTACGTTATGAAGAACACGTAGCCTGTTATAGTCTACAAGGCACAGGCTTAATAGTACGAGACTCAACGTTCTGTAGGAGTGGCTGCATACTTGCGATGATGAATGAAGGAAAACCCCGCATACACGAACTCGTGATGGCCACGTCAGTAGATCGATCAGGGGTTATCTCACGGGTGTCATGGAAAGAAATACTCAAGAAATGGCACACAACACTAGATTATCGGTTTTACAATAGGCATACAACACATTCATAAAGTTATTAGCACACCGTATACATAATGGCAGGACCACTATGAATGGTCCTCGAATCAAAGTTTTAACATTATTTCAGGTACATTATGTTGTAATATATTTCATTATTTGGCTACGCTATATCTCATTGTAACGGCAAGAACTATTCACTTGTGTGTCTTTCTACATAGCTAAATGGAATTACAATGCTGTTGAAAATTACGCGAACAAAATTACTACAATAAGATACCGAAATAGAGAACTTCATATAAATCTTATAAAACCCATGAAGGGAAAATGGAAACAGAATTTGGGAAGACCTCAAAGTTAGAGCTACAACATACTGGCAAATATCCTCAGTAAAATTGACGGTAAAAGGTACAGAGATTAGAAATGGAGAAATTATGGAAATGAGATAACTTAATTAATTTCTTAATTAAGTAATGATAAGGCTCCATGTTGTGATGGAATCCTGAATGAGTATCTTAATTCTACAATAGAATTATATAAACCTTTGTATCATTAGTTATTTAATGTTATATCTAGTACAGGTTACATACGTGATTCTAGGAAAATGTTATTTAACCCGTATATAAATCCAGGAGATCTTGATAGTTACTGAGCAGTAAGTCTTGTTACATGTCTTGGTAAAGTTCTACAATACTTAATAACAGATTAAATAAGATGGCTGAAGATATGAATCTTATAAGTTGGGCTCAGTTGATTGTCTGAAAACAATAGAAACTTCGGATAAAGATATTAGAATATACATAAAACTATTTATATCATTTGGTCCAGACGAAAATATCATTATGTCTGAATCAGCTGAAGGGCTTCAATCTGCTCTCGATAAGTTTGAACTATAGGTAAATACCAACAAAACTAAACTTGTTCTAATTTCAAAAAGAAAATATCGAACACAGTTTCATTTCAGTTCATGTAATGAAGAGATTGAGATTCATGAACCATTTCCTTATTTGGATGTCGTGGGTGCAAGTTTTTATCAATTTTTACTTATTTATATATGAAATTATTGGAACAGTCTTAAACAGGCTAGGTTTACAGTATAAAAATGATAAAAATGTCCCTATGAGTAGAACTTCCGTTAAAACTTAATTCGCTTGTATTACTAGATCTTCCCTATTTCGTAGAAATATGTGACGTACCTAACCTCTTGGTTTATAGAGAGATTGCAAGATTTCCTTTACATACTGAAGTTAAAAGCAAAGTTCTCATGGTTTTGTTTTAACTGATAACACGTTATCAGTTCTCAAGCATTGTATATTCAACTTAAACTTGGTAAACAAGGAGAACGGGTGCACGAAACACCCAACAGTAGAGATCAGAACACGGAATAGAATACTTAAGTTTGGATCAGGATCCCATCGGCCGTACATCGATTAGCTGTAGGGATCAGAGGAATATTAAGCT